GGAATAGCTTAGGAAGTCCAGAATTAGACCAAATATATATTAGAATGTAGTAAATGACAAAGATGGCATTTCAAATAGCTGGACTAAAGGATGGATTTTTAAATAAATGATGTTGGAATAATTGGGGAGACATTTGCAAAAAGATAAAATTAGATCTGTACCTCACATCATACTCCAGAATAAACTCCAGATAGTTGAAAATGAAACCATGTGTATACATGAAGAGAACTAGGGTGAATTCCTCTTTAACCTTGGTGTAGAGAATAGCTTTTTAACTGTGACTCAAAATCCAGAGGCAATAAGAATAAAGACTGATAAATTTGACTACATTTTTTACATTACAAAAGACCCCATAAATAAAATCTAAAAATAACTGACAAACTAAGAAAGTATTTATAGCTTATACCACAAAGGGCTAATATCTGCAACATATAAAGAACTCTTAAAAATTTCAGGGCAAAGGAATAAAAACCCAAATAGAAAAGTGTGAGAAAGACATGGACAAACAATTCACAAGAAAATATATTAAAATGTCCCACAAACATGAAAAAGTGGTCAAACTCACTCAGAATTGCAGAAGTGCAAATTTAAAAATCACAGATACCGTTTCTCATGTATAACACTGGCAAAAATTTTTAAAGGAGCAACACATTCTGCTAGTGAGGTTACAGAGAAATAGGCCCTCATACGTTGTTTGTGGCAATATAAATTGGTACAAAGTTCCTAGAAGGAAATTTGGAAATGCATAACCTTTTGACCCAACAATTCCACTTCAAGGAATTTACCCTGAAGATAGACCTCAAACAGTACAAAAATACATACAGAAAAGATTGGAAATATCCTAAGTGTCCGTATAGGAGAGAGTTGAATAAAATAGCACTCACACAAAGGAGTACTATATAGCTATTTTTAGTAATGAGGAAGATGTTGTAAACTGATAGGAAGTATTTTCCAGGACATGCTGTTAAGTGAAACAAGCAAATCCCAAAAGATATCTAGGGATGCTATCCTTCATGTAAGAAAGAAGATAATGTAAAAAAATGCACAAGTACCTCCTCATTTATGCAAAAGAAAAAAACCATAAACTCAAGAGATTGGTTATTTATAGAGTGCAGTTGGGAAGGGGGTGCAATGAAGGAGAGATGGGCCTGGAGTAGCAGAGATGAGGAGAGAGTGATACTTCTGCTTTTTTTTTTTTTTGGTACTACTGACTCTTAGAACCATAGAAGTATTTCACATACCCCCAAAATATCAAAGCAATGAAAGCTATCCGGGATGTGTAGAGAACCCAAAATGGAATACAAACCCTAGTAAATGGCTCCGTGTTTTTCATAGAAGTATAGGTTAGTAAATATAAAATTACTTGGTTTACATAACAGAATCACACAAATAAGTAAATTGATTTAGATAACAAGAGTTGGATTTCTCCCTCTTCAAGAAGTTGTAAATAAAAGGGCTAAATGTACCCTCTGGTTAATTTGAGGTATTTGTATAAACTCATGGTTACACACACACACACACACGTAAATGTCAAAGTATAGATATGTGCACATGTGGGTCAGTGTACATATGTGTCTTTTCTACATCTGTTCATTGGGAGGGCCTAGCAGCAGTAACACCCCAGTAATTGTGATCCCACTTAGTGCCCAGATCATAGTCTCTGCACACAATTCTCCAATAAAGGGACCAGGACTACTAAGAAAAGTGATTGATTCCAGGGCTGGGTCAGGAAAAATGCAAAGGAGAAATTACTAAATGTAATGCAGAGTGATCCAGAAAAAAACACATTAAGTGGAAAATTGGTGACATTCAAATAAGGTCTTTAGTCAGGTTCTTCTTCTAGATAATTATGTTATGGTTATATGTTAACATTAGGGGAAGTGGGCTAGGGGATATAAGGGAACTACTTGTACTATTTTTGCAACTTTTCTCTGTCTAAAATTAATTTAAAATATTTTAAACTGAAAACGTTTTTAAGCCTAGACTTAGGCTGAGAGTTTTGTCAGCAGTAGAAATTTAGGCGATTTATTGATGCTTCATTCTAGCTTGTTGCACCAGTTTTGCACAATAATATACACACAGTCATTGGAGAAAATAGAGGTATGAAGTGCAGAGTTTATTCTAATTCACAGTATACTTTTTCCGGTTGTATTTTTTTCCCATTGTGCTTACATCATTATAGACATAGACTAGGGGAAAACATGGGCTTTCTTTAAAAACTCAGTTATAATGTTAAAGTTCCCTTATAAAGTTGGTTTGTTCACTATGCATGGCAATATTCTCTTTTAAGCTACTTACCAGACTTTGAAAGGTTTTACTTATGACTAGTGTATGTCATATAAAGATCTATGGTTTTAAAAGTGTTTGTTTAGTTGGTTCAAAGGGCTCTGAATTTTCTTTATATGGACTCTGGACACAAATGAGTCTTCTGTATTACATTTCTCAAGTGTGTTTTCTAGTCATCATCTGCTATGACTGTGCTTCTATGCCTGGTACTATAGAGGATGAAGTTATTAGTAACTATCGATACTAAATCGATACTAAATCATAGTAACTATGACTTAGTAATTATGAAACTGTGGATGGAAAGATAAGGTGTAAAAGAAAATGAAAAATTTAAAACAGTTTGTGCAAATCTGTCTTTATCATGAAAAGGCTTTTGTTTGTTTCTTTAACAGGATGAACTTAATACATGAATTTTCTCATTGTTTTAAAGGGATATTCTTCTTAGAATTACACCAGAAAACCAACAGTGCTGCTTGGCTGTGGCAGTATTTTATGAATCATGGATGGGTTTCTTAGAGCTTTTTTTATTTTTACTTGATATATCGTGTATGAGAGCAGTGCCTCGGGCTTGCATAGTGTAAGCTATGGTGCCCCGTGTTAACATAGAATTACTGTTTGTTTTTACTGTCACAAGTCTATGAATTCAGTCTGTCATGCAGAAGTGATCATTATAACGTAAGCACTTACTGTCTTCCTGTAGCTGATTCCCCAGTGACATTTTTAAAAGTCAGTATTTGGCTGCAGAGTGCTTTAAATTTCTAAATGGACTGTAGATTGGGAGCCTTAGGGTATTTCATAGGAAACCGTAAGCACTTACTGTCTTCCTGTAGCTGATTCCCCAGTGACATTTTTAAAAGTCAGTATTTGGCTGGAGAGTGCTTTAAATTTCTAAATGGACTGTAGATTGGGAGCCTTAGGGTATTTCATAGGAAACACATGACCCTGCAGTGGACACACCAACATTTGTAGGTCTTTAGCCAAGTCTGTGACCAGTATTTACCCTTGAAATTGTTTTAGTCTAAACCGTTAAGTGTTTTTTTGCTTTGCATTACTGGGTACTAACACTAATTTACTACAAATGTCTAAGACTAAAATGAATGGTTAAACAAATTCTGCGGTTTGTCTCAGGTATTTTATCCCACTAGTTATAGCTCTAATGTAGGAGCAACTCCTGGTGGTTTCACAGCACATACTTCCCAGTGTTCCTAAATTCAGATCTCTGGTTTTCACCCTAAAAGTGAGAAGCCTAAACTCCCGAGAAGAGTTTGAGAATTATTTTATAGTAATATTTTAGCAAATATTTGTACCTGTTGTCTAAACTTAAAATCGTATTCCTGCCTCTCTGGCTGTCACAGATACAGCTGTTATTAGTGTTAGTAATGAGCAACATCCTGAGAGACTCCGGGGACTGTGCTGCTCTTCTGGTCTGCCTGGGCATGTGTAGAAGCACGAAAGGGAGGTTCCAGCTTTGTAGCCTGTGTGCCATGACCTTTGCTGGGGTGATTAGCGGTGATCTTCAGGGCATTAACTTCCTTCTCAATTGTAATTCTTTTTAGCAATATTTACGTAACTATGGGAGCATAGGTCTTATGGGGTCAGAGCAGTTAGCTTGATCTAGCATGATCACATGACTGCCATACCAGAGGGCTAGGCAGAGCAAGCTAACTTGCTTGCTTTCTTTTCTTTCTCTTTCTCTCTCTCTTTCTCTTTTTTAAATCTATCTGTCTATATTTCTGTCTTTGTAATTTACTATAGCAAAGGGGGAGGGTAGAAGATAAAATAGCATGGACTGTATGCCTTAAGAGCTAGTGCCCTGGGGTTGTGCTAAATCCAACTGCCTTTTTAATTTTATTATATTTTCAGTCTTAGAAATACATCTAAACCTCAGAGCCAGGAAGTGAGTTAAGTGAGTTAAGAATCAACTACTTCTGATGATTTTTAAATTTTAAAATCCTGTCTCCTGCCTTCACATGAATCATTGTCTCTTTTTTACCATTAAAATAAGTGTCTTTTCCTTTAATTCATATTCTCAGATGGTGGTTTAAAAGTATAAAAGACATAATTCCTGTCTCAAGGAGCTTGCGTTATACTTGGAAAAGACAAACCAAATAAACATTAAATAAATGGAAATTAAATAGATGCTATTGCTGTATTAGCAATAAAGATCAAAAGAGATGCAAATCATATACACTTCATCTTATAGTAGTATGTTTTATGATTCTTAGTAAAGGTATTATAAGCTTATGTTAAATCTCTGATTGATTGGTTATGAAGACTGTTTAGAAATCTGTTGATATTACTGTATTGATTGGATGTTACCAGTGAGTAATTGCTGTCCACTCTGCATGCCTGCCCACGTGGAGACTAGTTTAAGACTCAGGATGATGAGTTTGACTCAACAGTATTGGATTTTGTTAAGTGTACTGAAGAAGTGTGTGTCAGATTTCAGCTACAGATTGATTTGTCTGTGAGTTTGGGAACTCATTCAGTAACAAATTGGACTTTTTAACAATTCTTTAGCTAAATGTTTATATTTCCTCTTCATTTTACAGAAAAAAATGATGAAATATACTTTCTGAGCTATGTCTTTTTCCATGTGGAGCCATTATCTTTTATGATCATAAAAATTAAATGTAGCTGTATCTTGGTTTTTCATGATTGCAGTATTAGTTCCAAGGGCTCCTCATCCCCACTTTTCCTTCTGTGTCTTACAGGCAGTCAGATGCCTCCTCAGCCACCTGGGAGCCAGTCAGAATCCAGTTCCCATCCTGCCTTGAGCCAGTCACCAATGCCACAGGAGAGAGGTTAGTTTCAATTCATAACTTACATACCTATAGTGCTTTGAGTACATAAGGCTTCTATGTGTTTGCTTACCTATGTGTCTCCTTATAAGTAATTTTTTAAAAGGATGTTTTGTTTTCTTATCAGATGAAAGAAATAAACAATAACCTACATGTAACAACAAATATGGAGTAGGAGGATGTATTCTTGCAGATTGGGCAAAGTTTTGCCAACGTGCAGTTCCAGGCCCAAAGAATATATATGTTCACATAGTACCATGGAGCATAGTTTATACCTACGTGACTGTAATCTGATATTTGATCTAGCTGTGTAAAGATAAGTATGAGTGATTCAATGTGGATATAAGTTCTCATGAAATGTTAGAGTTCATGTGTGTGTGTGTTTACCTATTTTGAGAAACTACATGTTCCGTGATATTTAATAGTAAAATTTTAAATCTGTATAAAAACTAGTATTATAGGGCCGGCCTGGTGGCGCACTGCTACAGTGCACCACTTGGGAAGTGCGGTGGCGCTCCCGCCGAGGGTTCGGATCCCACATACAGACCGGTTCCCGCTCACTGGCTGAGCGAGGCGTGGGGGCAACACTG